GCTAGATGGGGAGGGTGAAACCAGCGCCAAGTGTTTTTGTATTTTTTAATAAATAATTTGTTATTTTAATTAAATGTTTAAATTTTGTATGTGCACTAAGAATAACATATCACTTACTTTTTAGAATCAAATTTTAATTAGTTTTATTTATACATTTTATGTATATTTTATGTATGTTTATTTTGAATTTGCACCTTGAATAATATATCAGTTACTTTTCATATTGGTAATATATTAAAAATTCAGATAATTATTAAAATATAAACATATTGGAGTGTCTTTTTTGGAACTTGGCCAGACCTTATCATTTATGAATCTTTGTGCTATATTAATTTACTAGATCGCTTGTGAATTGCTGCAACAAGTTGCATGCAGGCTCGTCTGATGCAAGCTTTTCATATAAGTGTGGCATAAGGAAAAAACAGAGAAAAACAATGGGATTGTTTTGTCTCTTTTCCTTATAGGCTGTTAGAAAACCTCTATTTTTTATATATTACAACTTTGCTTCCGCCGTTTTTTTTTCGACATTTGAGGCTTTATTGTAAAAAACTGGTTATACATTTACGATTCAAAATATTGTCCATCGCTGGTCACTACTTTCTCCCATCTTTCGGGCAGCGTACGAATCCCGCGTCGAAAAAACTGCTCATCTTTTGAGGCGATCCACGTATCGATCCAATTTTGACTTCTTCATAAAAACGTAAGTGCTGGTCAGCCAGGCCGTGTGCCATTGATCGAAACAAGTGATAGTCAGAGGGAGCAATGTCTGGAGAATACGGCGGGTGGGGTAGGACTTCCCATTTCAATGTTTCCAAATATGTTTTGACCAACTTTGCGACATGGGGTCGAGCATTGTCATGCTGCAAAATCACTTTATCGTGTCTCTCGTTGTATTGCGGCCGTTTGTCTTTCAATGCTCGGCTTAAACGCATTAATTGCTTTCGATACAGATCGCCTGTGATTGTTTCAGACGTTTTTAGCAGCTCATAATACACTACGCCGAGCTGGTCCCACCAAATACAGAGCATGACCGGAAAGTCCCCATGATTTTCTGCGCTTGGGGTTATCGTAATAAACACATTTTTCGTTCCCAGTCACAATGCGATGCAGAAATCCCTTCCGTCTTTGCCTTTCAAGCAGCTGTTCACAAGCAAACAAATGCCGTTCAACATCTCTCGGCTTCAAGTCGTACGGCACTCAATTTCTTGTTTCTGAATCATTCCCATGGCTTTCAGGCGTTTTGAAATGGTTTGTTGAGTCACTCCCAATGATCCTGCCAATTCTTCTTGCGTTTGACACGAGTCTTCATGAAGTAATGCCTCCAATTCTGCATCTTTGAAAACCTTCTCTCTTCCACCGCCATGCCGGTCTTCGATGTCAAAATTACCGTTCTTGAAGCGTTGAAACCACTCACGACAAGTTCTTTCACTAATAGCGGTTTCGCCATAAGTATTTGAGAGCATTCGATGAGCCTCAGCCGCAGATTTCTTCATATTGAAGCAGAAAATTAAAACCTCCCGCAAATGACGAGAATTTGGCTCGTAAACTGACATTTTCAATCGAGAATAACTTTACGATGCGGACACAAATCGACTAATGTTTCGATGGGGTTATGTTGACAAATGCCCAAGCTTATTGTATGTGACGTCTACATCTGTATATTTCCACCACCACATACCGCTAAAGCCATTCTATTGGAAAACGGCGGAAGCAAAGTTGTACACCTAATACATATGTGTAGAGTATACATATATACATGTATAAAATATACATGTAATATATACATGTAAATATATACATGTAAAAAATTCAGTGAAGAGAGTGTACAACAAAAAGAGATAAAACAAATCGAATGATCTCTTTGACTGATCGCATCTTGAGCAGCACGGCGGTTCTCGATTTGTATAGATTTCATTAAAATTATGTAAACATATAAAATATAATAAAAAAATTTTAAACCGATTTTGCTTTATTTAATAAAAATTGCCAAATAACTTTTTTATTTCTTTGCAATCAAAGTGGTGTCTTCCCGTAAAGTCCAATTCATAAAGATCATCGCTTTTAACAACATATATATGAGTGTTATCAAATTCTAGAGCACATATACCTTTATCGTCGTCATGTTCTATAGTATACGTCTAAAAATTTTTAAGACAATAATAATTCACTAATAAAGTACAAAATACGAATAATTTGAAAATAAAATACAAACTTGAATGGCATCACTCTGTCTCTGATCCCATAGAACAATCTTAGTAAATCCCGTTACAAAAGTGTACCGATCATCTGATGAGCAACACATTGATAAGCCATATTTTGAAGAATCCCATGTACGTACAACTTCGGATGTTCTGAAATCACAGTAGCAAATATAAAGAAATTAAATAGCTAATTAATATCAACAATAAGATTTATTACCTCATGTCCATTTTTTTAATAGAATACTCAAAACACATGAGAATAGTTTGAGGATCTTCCCATAGTAGTTGGTGACAATCCTCTCCAAATTTTTCATCCATTACATGATAACTAAAATTGCTTTACATTAACATAATGTATATTTTATTCCAATAATACATAAAATCCTATGTTCTGTCCAGCAAAAGAAAAGTCCACGGTTAAAACAAAAACTCGTCTATTTCGTTCAGGTTTTTCCTCACGGGACGCTTAGAAAGCCCGCCATTCCACACAACTGTACTGATTGTGCAGCTTTTCAATGCCAGCGAGTGGCGCAACGCTCTTTCCATTTTGACTGCTATGCTTCTATGCGCAGACCGGGTTTTTATCTCGCTGGACAGAGTATAGCTTTATATACGGGCAAAATGTTCGTATCAGACTACACATTAAATATTGAAAATAAAAATTTTAGATTGAAATTTGACCAATCAAGAATAAAGAATTTTTGGCTTTTTTGTATTGATTGGTTAAACTTCAATTTTTAATTTTTAATCTTCAATGCGTAATCTGATGCAGGCTTAACGACGGATCCTTCCACTATGTGAAAGAGAGAAAAATATATTTTTACTTTCTCTCATGCCCACGTTCTTAACTTATTATTGGATAGAAAATCAGTAGTTTATACTTTATAGATATACAGACAGGCCAAAATGTTTTTACGCTTGATTCGTAGGTATTGTACCGATTGAACACTTGGTCACAAAAATGCCTTAACATATGAACTTGAACGAGTGTGAATTTCACAAGCAAATTCAAATGTGTCTTGACACTCGTTGACAAATACATGTGTAAAGGCCATCGCACACAAAATGACATAACTGCATATGCATAGCATAAGACTGTCTCGACCAATGAGCATGCTATGTAAATCAATATGGCGCCTTTATGCTAGATGTTCATTGGTCAAAACGGTCTTATGCTATGCATATGCAGTTATGTCATTTTGTGTGTGATGGCCTTAAGGGTCTATCCAGACAAACTTGCATGATTGGTCCATAAACAAATGCATAAAGAAATGAACTAATTAATTTTTTTTAAGCACATGTTTATGCGACTATGCAAGTTTGTCTGAATAGGCCCTAAGACATTCCTGTGTCTGGTGTGTACCTACTACGCCAAACACAGTCAAAAGTTTCGAACTTAACTGTATGTGAAAGGACAGCAACACATGACATGTAGTTCTCTTCCGCAAGAAGTGATTCAGTGCCCATTCCCGTATATATAATTCAGTACTCACTAACAAGAAAGTTTTGATAAGCCAAAAATTCTAAAAATATTTGAAATTTTGCAGAAAAATAATACATATAAATCTAATCAAAGAGCTATTTTTTGTTTTAAATAAAAAATAATTCTAGGGAATGGAAACACTTTTTAAAGAAATTCCGATTTTTCGAAAGATATTTCCCCCTCTAGAAATATTTTTTGCCAAAACAAGAAATAGCTTTTTGATTAGGTTCATATATTATATTTCTGCAGTTTCATATTTTTTAGAATTTTTGAGTTATTAAACCGTCCTTGTAAGTTATAATTAGAAATGTTATTAAATCGAATCATATAATAGTGTCTGTAAACATAGTCAATGTTTAAATCAACATTTGTAGAAATTGATCAATTAATTGAAATATCACTTACTTTTTTTCAATATCGTAAATTAGAAACGACGTTGATGATTTATTATAATCATAGAAACTAGCAGCAAATTTTGTTCCTATAGGGTCAAATGAGATTGATTTTATATGAATTTCGTCGTCTTCAGGTTGTTCCACGTCGACTCCACAAAATATTTGCTTTTCTTCCGTACAACCATTTTTATCGTCTGTATATTTCAGTATCTACGCAAAAACAAACTTTTTACATACTACATTAAGATAGCATTATTGCAATTTTTCTTGAATCTTACCTTTATTAAATCATCAGAACCAATTATAATGTGTTGTGATGTTGCGTCTATGACATCAATTTCTTTATGTACATTATGTATTACTGAATATTTAAGATCATTTCTTTTATTCTTTTTTGATTCAATTCTCCAGTGTTTAATAATACCATATCTGCAAGAATTTTTGTCAAAAATAAAAATAAAAAATAAACATAAAATACAGTTTATAAATAAATACTCACACGTCGCCACTTATAATATAATCGTCGCAAACAGCAATAGATTTAATAAAGGTGTTATTATTTCCCACAATCTTTTCATCCTTTTTAATGGTACCGTTCTTTGCGCGATTATAAGCAAGAAAATAATGTCCACAAAACCAAATCGTATTTTTAGTCATTTGCAGGCATTTATTACTCGTATCATAATCTGTATAAATTTCCTTTTCTTCTTTATATATATTACTTTCTTTATAACCCGCAGATATCCAGTTGTAATATGTACTAAATATAGAATTATATGAAGATAATAGTGGTTTACATCTGTAAAAGAAAATAAGACGTGTTTTTCAATATGACCTTATGTAAAATCGTGTATATTCTATATTCTGAAAATATGTAAATATTAAAATGTATTTTAAAGATATAATTAAAAAATTGAATAAAGTTTTGCATAATTAACAACAAGAAAAAAAGTTGTTACTTAACGCTAATATGTGAAAAAGTTTTATCGATAAATATTGTATTAGATTTGAAAAAAAGTATGTTCATTAGAATCACTTTTCTATTAATTCTTTTAATTGGACAAATTTAGATTAATTTAAAAGTGGTTAATGATGTCATTGCATTGTCTCTGTCAATAAAAATGGAATATATACCTAGTTTACATCGTCAAAACATTGGTACGCGTATTAAGTTTGGTGCCCACCCTGATAGAAATATTTTTCTAAGAATATAACGAAATTTTGCTGAAATGTATTTGAAAATTTCTCTCAATTGACCCCATTAATTAATTTCATAAATATTTCAGCAATTTTTCATTAAAAAGTAACAGTTTTCAGTTCAATTCAGTAAATTTCATAATGATAATTATTTAAAAACTTTTTTATTACTTTTTAACAGTATATTTTAACTTTTTTTATATTTCATAGTATTACATTAAATTTTTATACGGAAAATTATGATTCATTTTGAAATATATTCAGTAATTTTCCAAAAACTTTCGTTTCACTTTTCATTGATTTTATAGCACTGTCAGCAAAATATTTCCATTAAGGTAGCCAATCAAAAACGTTGCAAGAAAGACAGACGTCACCCGGCAATATAGCTCTCCCTTCTTCCTAGTGGAATCAGCCCTACTTCTTCAAGGCGCTCTTCAATGGCTTTGTTTACTAACGCTTGGTGCTGGTCCTAGGTGTTTTTCAGCAAAGGACACAAGTTGACACAAATCGACACAAGTATTACTCTGTCTTTGTTCGATATTCAATGAGCAACAGAGTATGTTTTCCAGCAAAGGACACAAGTTGACACAAATCGACACAAGTATCACTCTGTCTTTGTTCGATATTCAATGAGCAACAGAGAGAATAATACTTTTGTGTCGCTTGTGTTTTTTGGTGAAAAACTACTTTAGTAGAGCTCTAAGGCCTGTTCTACAATACGTCGTATATCGGATAACTTATGGATAAACAACACTACAATTTACTCGCAAATAATAAATTTCAATTTTTTCTTTAAATGACATACATTTAACACCTTACCTATCAAGAGACACGGTAGTGTCTCGCGCCAAGTTCACGCGCAGCGCAAAACCGACCGTGTATCTTTACGCGAGCACATGAGCTGATAGGAGTCGAGATTTTCATATCTCAATAATGCGTGGACCGATCGAATTTATAATAGGCTCAATCGATAGAGCACATGCGATTTACATAATAAAAGTATCTTTACTTTTTTTGTACATGCTTTCTAAAAAAATATATTAATTGCCAAAGTTTGCCAAAGTCGAAATATGCCGAAATCTATGTAAGTCTTGGTCGTCGTCGTCGTCGTCGTCGTCGTCTGTTCGTCATCCTTCTCTAATATATAAGTTTTTCCTTTGTCAACTAGAAGCATCAAAATGCGACATGGTTGTCCTTTTCTACATCCCGTGAAATGTCGATTCCCGCATAAGAGCGTCT